GGATCGGATCGGCCCCATCCCTAAAGTACTTATTAGCTAAACATAAAAAAGCATAAAAACCCTTACAGGTGCAACTATATGAGTAAATACAGAAAGCGACAAATACAAATTACAGTAAAAACAAAAATATTTGAGATATTGTTTGTTTGGTGGGGATTTGTCCATTGCACAATCAAGCAGACTAATGAAATCCAGACTTAAAAATGCTGCCCAGTTCCCTGCAGCAAACCAATAGTAATTACTTTCTATACATGTGTAATATAAATATGTAAAGTATGTGCACTGTTTCCATTCACCTTCTCTTTGTGTTGCCCAGCGACTGGAGCGCCGGCTCTGGCATGGAGGATGCGAGGCCGTACATTCCCCCAAAGCGGCTGGGGAAGGCAGGTAATCCGCCTCCTGACCCATCAGCTCCTGCAGACCAAAAATACACTCAGTTACTTACTGGCTCATAATGGGTTCCTTATCTTGACCTTTAAAGCTGCAGTAGGCCACGTTTGTTAAAATAACTTTTGGTCATATTTGCTGAAATGTTCAGTTCAGCCCACTACATTCTCACAGTAGTACATGAGACAGAAAAAATCAGGTTCCTGAAGGAAAACAACCAATCAGAACCAACAACAAAGACAGTTCCACTCCTCGACTACAATAGCACAAAGTAAAGCTATTAATCTCTGAGGAATAACAATCTTCACACCTATACCTACACAGACCCACTAACAGCAACATAATGTCATACGAATAGCAAAGGACATATGCAAAACGGTCAACAGCCGAGCTACAACATCTAAAGCTAAACTGCCTGGCAATCAAAAGGGATGAACAGTCATTATATGAAGACAAAGAAACAGTCGGAACCACTGTTTGTTTCCAACCATCCTCTCACTCACTGATCTCTCTCCCTCTGTCTCTTACCACATTGGACAGCAGCACAGTCCAGAGACTAAAAACAGCATGTGTGATTTTATTAAGAGCAGTGCATCTTCACCAGGCCCTGACTCACAATGATGTCAACCTCATGGATTCATCTAGAACAGAGACAGCACCGCAGACTGCTGTCCGTTTAAAGTCAGCAGTAAACACAAAAGGTACAAGTGTGGCACCAAAACTGGCATTTTTAGTTGACCTCTTTTTAAATGATCACCTATTCACAATCTATTTTCTGTGAGACTACGGATGGTGTTAGATACTGGCAACGTACCCACATGTACCACACGTGTGCATTAGGCGGACAGACACTTGCACAAGCCCCCGAGAGGTGAGCGGGGTTCCATGTGCTGCTGGGAGGCTCTGACACTTGAGAGTAGGCTGGAGAACAGCTTTGCATTCCTAACATGACTTCAGATTAGGGGGGTGATTTTAGAAGTGTACCTCCTGAAACAATCTGTCAATCGACAGAAATCTCTTGCCGCCTTTGTTAAACAATTTCCTGGGAGAAACCCTGAGCTCTCTGTGGTCAGAGGCCACCCTGGATCAGTCAATAATCCACCCTTGCCTCGAAGACAGAGTTAAGTAACTTTGTGTTCATGATTTAACCCTACGTTTCAACAGACTGGGGGGTTTCATTCCAAGCACACACTACGGCCACTGATTAATAACCCCAAACTGAGGATGGGGAAACAGGTCTAATCAGTAAAATCAGCTTGAATTAGTTCGGAAGCATAGACAGAATCCCCTCTCTTTGAACAAATTTGGAATTTCTGGCTTCAGTAACTTTCAAGCATTGCTGCAAGCACTAAACCCAGACTCCAGGGACCTGTTACACAAAGGAGGTTTACACAGTTATCTGGATTCAACTGTAAAAGGCAGAAACTCCCAAAATCTGGAACATGGACTGGCGTACAAGATTTGTCTCAAGGTTTTGCCAGTTCAGCTTTCCCAGTAAACCTGCTCAGTTGGACAGGCAGACTGCTTCCAAATGTCCCTCAAGATGCTACATCCATGTTACAATCTGTGTTTTCCCCCACTGATTTGTTTTCTTTGGGGTGGCAACATGTTGACAGGGATATCATTACATCATTGTGTAACTAGGCTTGCACCATTTCAGCAACGCATAAGAAATGTATGTCTGAGAAACCCTGCTAACAGACCATGAATATTGAAGTCAAAGGCATGACCACCCCTGTTATGTAAGTAAGGCTTATTCACACATATGTTCCAGTTCCCATGCCCCCCTCCATTTCCTAATGCAGGTTGATTTTGGTTTTTATCAAAGGTTCTGATGCTAAAGTACAGACGTAAGTGATCAACTGAGATCCAGCTGTCCGTCATTCTCATTAGCATTGCAGGGGTCGTTAACATTATTACAGTTACTGCTGAAAGAAACTGAAAGGCAACAGGTACAACGTATCACTCCTATTTATCAAGAACCACCCAAACAGCAAAGGAGGAAATAATCCGCTGCTGACCTGTTCTTTGCAGTAAAAACCTGCACAGCGTCATGTCACACATTCTTAAAAAGCCACAAGTGGATCAATACTTAATCAGAGTCCTGCTGGAGCCGCTACAGCTACAGCTACAGCTACAGCTACAGCTTACAGCACAGAGCGGCCTACAGCTACAGGCTAACAGCCTACAGCTAACAGCAGCAGAGCACAGAGCGGCTGGGACAGTCGGTCTGGAGGTGCCGGCTGTCAGATAATTAGACAACACTGTCAGAACTGCACTTGGCTGTTCGTGGATGTAGCTTTAATAGGAGCACAGCTTAGCATTCAGTAAGCTTGTTAATGACTTTCACCGTACAGAGCATTGAGAAAGACAGCAGCCAGTATAAATCCACAGCACCAACAAACAGGACGTTATATAATGGGACCAAAGCCACGGAGTCGTAGCAATGTCCCACACATCCCATCTTGGGTAACTGATTCAAACAACCAACTAAACCTTAGCGTGTGTTAGCTAAGTCTGTTAGCATTACCTAGCTGTCCTGCTATGGAACTGCCAATAGAAAAGGGATGTTCACTGCTACAGTTCTTGTGATACTCAGCCAATATGTAATGAAACATGACTTATTATTATCTAATTAGCCATACGTGTATATTTCAATGAAGATATAGCTTTAGCCACCTGTGCTAGAGACCTGAACTCTCGTCAAAGTTGAGCAAGTTTTGAGCTAACTTAGCATTTAAAGGACCAGTGTGTAGTGCCATCTAGCGGTGAAGCTGCAGACTGCAACTAACTGAATACCACTCGGAGTATGGGATGTGTAGGAAAAACTACGGTTGCCCCTGAAACTTGCAAAAAAGGTCTCCATCTACAGCCAGTGTTTGGTTTGTCTACTCTGGGCTACTGTAGAAACATGGCGGTTCAACATGGCCGACTCCACGGAAGGCGACCCCCAGCGTCTGCAGGTAAAAACTGCTCATTCTAAGGTAACGGAAACTCAACAATTCCTATATTCAGGAGATTATTTACTCAAGACCACATACCTATGGACATTATGTTCTATTTCTGCCAATAGATCCTCCTAAATGTTACACACTGGACCTTTAACTGGCTAGCTTATATGTGTTATCTAAGTCTGTTAGCATTAGCTAGCTGTCCTGCTATGGACGACAGCTCCTGATAGGAGAGGGACGATCCCCGATACAGTGCTTGGCATACTCAGCCGATATGTATTGAGACAATACACAGCTATACATGTATATTTCAATTAACGTAAGTTACGCCAGAGACGTAAACTCTCTCCCGAACAGGTCGAAGTTTTGAACTAGCTTAGCATGTAAAGGCACTAATGTTGGTTACCGTTGTCTGGGCGTTTATTCTAAGCTGACTTTGACGTCTCTCCTCCTCTATGGCAAACTCTATTTTGTCGAGCTGCCCTCGGACTATCTCCCGCTGGTGGAAATGGAAAGCTGGGTGCAGGGAGGCCATGGTATAAAGCAGCGCCAACTGCTCCAGAGGTCCCGCCGCGGTTTCGTTAGCGGAGAAGCCGCAGGTCTGCTCCGACCGCCCGTACACATTCCCGTCCTGACACGGCGGATGGGACGCGGGGTGGAGAGGGTCCCTTAACGGAGGAAGGGAGTAGTCGTAATTTTTGTAGAACAAGGCCTGATCAACATGGTTCAGTATCCGAAAGAGTATTCCAGCACATTCCCTGCTGTCAGAGCCCAGGAGGGACAGGCAGACCAGGAGTTTGGACCGGACAACTGGGTCGATCACGTCTGTTAAAACTCCCAAATCACTCGGACTATTTGCCCGAAACTCAAAGTCCCTTAAAACATGGTAATCTTTCCTAGCGAGATCCTCTAAGTAAGATCCCAAAAAGCGGAGCTCCAGGGGTTGGCACATATGTAGCAGCCCGCACATGAACTCGATCCGCTTAGCGGGGTTTAGATGTAGGCCGAACCACTCGAAAACAGTCTCCTTGTCCAGCTGGGATGGGTACACATACGGTCTGGGCGACTCGTCCACTCTGTCGGACACCGAACAGGGAGGCACAGCCCCGGGAAGATGTTGGTGCTCCGGCTGCTCCAATGAATCGTCCTCGGCCGTTTCGTCGCCTCCTACCTCGCCCGTTTTCATCGGTAGCTTCATTTTCAGCATTATCAGCGCTGCGAGAGAGGCTTCACCGTGTAAACGACGGTCCAATATACATTATTGACAGCGTCCACCGTTTCGTAACCCTGAAGGAGCGGCGAGCTGTCAGTCGTTTAGCAGTGTTTTTACTCCCAGACAATCATCTGACGCTGCGATAGTAACGTTACTACTGTAGCGCTTTCCCTACGTTTCGTTCTTCTTCTACTGCTCATTTCCGGCAGAGTGCCTGTGTACAGTCGGCTCTTTGCTGCTACCGTGCGACTGATGGAGGACTTGCTGTATTTTTTTTATTTTTTTTTCGGTGGTTCCAAACCTTTTTTCTTTAGGGACCTCTTTTCCATCATTTAGTAAACCGGCGACCCCTGACCAAGTGACATATTTTTGATGGATATTTCATATTATATTAAAAACTGATACAATTAACCCAAATTGTGACCTGACTAACTGCAATAACATTGCGTAAAACTAATTTAATTGGATTTCGATTAGTTTTAAGCAGATTATTTCCTGTTTTAGAAAACTTTTTATTAAATTCTGTCTGTATTGTTAAAAAAAAATATATTATATAATATAAATATATTATTAACAATAATTCATACTTAGTCGGCTTCTTTTCTGACAAATTGACAAAGCGTTTTCTTGTCCCTGATGCTTGGTCGTTGTTCTATTAGTCAACTTTACATTTACGTTTCTTCAAAGAAGTGAACCAAATGTTGATATATAACGTTAGGCCTACTGTGTATATTTCTTAGGTTTTCTTACACACCTTAAACAACCCCCAGTTGCATTACATCATACAAGGAAAACATATTTCAGTAGGACTGAAGTGACCCACATAACGAATGTAGATCTACAGTGACACTAAAGTCACATGAATTCTGATGTGACTGTTCACACTGGGAAGAATCAGACCTGTATTTGATTTGGACCACATATGAAAGTGCCCCTGAACAGAACTTAAAAGATCAGATTCCATGTGATTCATGATGTTTACACTGTCATGGAAAAATCTGATCTGAGTCACATATGAGCAAAAAAAATCTGATTTGGGTCACTTTGGCCTGCAGTGTGAATACGGACCTATAGCCTACGTTTGAGAGCATAGTTAGTGGACTCTGAATCAGTATTACAATTCAGAAACAAGACCATGCCTTCTAATACTGGTGTAATGTAGAAAAATAAGTGAGTAATGGATTTAAATTCTATTTTACAGAAAGAACATACTGGAGAAATATTAGTTTTAAATGGATTTAATCATTTATTACAAGAGTAGTAGTTCAAGCTTAACCAAACTTTCTCTGCTAAGAGTTCTGGAAAGTTTAGTTAAAAGAGTCGATATGTTTCTGATAGGGTGATTATTAAAGGTCCTTCCCACCAAACGCAGACTTGCTGTAATCCAAAGTAGACTATATAAATAAAACAGTGCTACTATTTATATCATTGCTATAACCAGGCTATGTACTTTTAATGTCTGAAGGAAGTTTATTACCCTTCTGGCAATTTGGCTAGTGCACTGAACATTACAGTTACTGTACAGTAGTAGCCTTTTGTCTTCTGTAGTTGCGATCAAATTATATTCCAAATATCTTATGTTTGCACAGTTACAGTATTTACTTATAGTCTTAAAAATATACATTTACCCATGACAGCTCTGTTATTTGACTCCTGTGCTGGAATAACACTACATGATGTACCTGATGCAAACTCGAGCTGTCTAGTAGACCTGTCAACAGCTGGTTGCAGTTGTCATAAAAGCACACAGAAGCAAGCAATAATATAACCTAGCATTTGGGTTTTGAGGAACACTGTGAATGAAATAGATTTTGTTATAGTAAATGTTTGAGACACCTTACCATCATGGTGCAACGCTCAAATAGTCACATTCGATATTTTCTAACCATTTCTGTTACATTTTAGAAGCAAACCTTGATTTTCCCATTATTTTTTTCTTTTTTAGTATAGTTTCAGTAAATAATAGAAAGGAGGAAAAGAAAGAGACTAATAATGGTGTTACACTGACTTTCATTTAGGCAATACTGCCCTCTAAAGGAAAAATGCAACAATTACAAAAATAAGGAAACCAGAATGGGTAAATGTGGCTGCTTGGTGCAGCTTCACTTCCTCTGGGTTTGAAGATGTGTCTCTCTGCTTAGTCTGGATCTGAATAGTTAAACAGCTGCGTCCTTTTTCTTCTGCGACTTCATGTCCCGCAGTTCGCCAAGAAACATGAGGTCAGGAGGTCAGATGTAAGGAGATGAGAAAAGACAAGCAGACCTTGTGTGAAATAAATAAGCTGTGCTGTATTTCACACAGAACAATGCCATATCAAAAGTGTATGCTGGAACATCATAGAGGTCATCTGCATATACGGTTTTCATTCAATTCAAAGATCCCCTTTAATGTGACATATATAACCTCATGACAAAAAGGTATCTACTCCTTCTACCTCATACCAGAATCTATGAATATATATATAATTGATGATTGATAAAGTTTTGCTGCTGACTTCCAAGCTATTTGTGATGTCACAAATCCTGCTGTTAGGCCCCGCCCCTTACAATCACATGTTCAATGAGCTCAGAGAAACTTT